AAAAAAAAAAAAAAAAAAAAAAAGAACCGGAAGATCGATTTTTCATTTGAAATCCTGACTTTTATTTGCTGTGCTTTGTTATAAGAAGACATGCCATTAACACAGGCTTATTTTCCTGCTTAGGTGTTTCATAATAGAAGAGCAGAGCTTCTTGTTATGTGAAGACCTTCTCTATGGAAGAATGTCATTCAGAGGATTTAATCCTGAGGTTGAGGTATTAAATATAATTGCTTCCCATTTTAAAATTTTCCAATTGAATTCTTTCTGCTAATAATTGGGTTTAGGTTTTTTCCCACCGGGTAGCATTTCTTCTCATTATATAGAAAATAACAAGTCTTGAAATACCGCTGTAGCTGTTTAAAGAAATTGCAGTGTTGCTGCCTCACGTTGTGGTGGAGTCGAGTAGATAATTTAATACAGCAGCACGCGCTCCCTGACAGCGCTTCCATGAGTGTTAGAATCTCAACTCCGGGCTTTTACAAGAACGTCCAGGTTTTATTCATGCGATGCTATTATGAAAAATTGTTTTCTTGCATCTAGAAACATATCTTTTCTAATGGAAAACGTTACTTAAGAATCGAGTAATTTGACTTTTTAATGGACAGGTTTTAATCTGAGCTTGTAAATAGAGTTTTAAATGAATCCTTTGGAAAGTTTGTTTGAAAAGTAAATATTCACCTTATGAGCTGTTGATTTGAATTTCCATGCCTCAGTTTTGTAGAGAAGCACAGACATTCATTTAACAAATATTTATTAGCATTCTGGCACATGTACCAGAAGCCATCGTATCAGGTACTTGGCCAACCAAATGGAGGTTTATGATGTAAATTTTTAGTTTGATGACTATCACGTGAAGCCAGGGATTCTCAGCCCTGCCACCACTGACATCTGGAGCCAGATGATTCTTTGTAGCTATCTGTGTATTTTGAGATGTTTAGCAGCATCCCTGGCTTCTCCCCACTAGATATCAGTAGTGTGCACGTGCACACACATGGCCCACTTGTGACAACCAAAAATGTATCCAGACATTGCAAAGGTCCCTTGGTGAACAAAACTACCCCTGGTTGAAAACCACTCTATAAGGATGCCTGAAGAGAACCAGAGTTCACCACGCTAATTGCCAGATTAGCTAAATCTTTATTCAAAGATTGTAGGTTTTCTTTTTTTTTCCGTTTTTTGAGGATGCATGATAATTAAGATGTTATATTTACCTTACACAAAATCAACACTAAAAGTGTTTGTTTTTAATATGTAATTTCCTTGCCTTGGCCTGCTTAAAGATTTAGAGGAAGAGAAAGAGGGCAGTGGGGTAAAGGGGGAGGCGGGGGAAGCAAAGATTATGAGTGTTCGATGCCCAGGGACTGGGGCTGGGGGTAGGCAAGCCCTCCACAGTATGTCTTGTACAGTGAGAAAAGAAGTTGGCCTGGCCCTTGGGTTCTGATGTGGGAGCCTATTAGAAAATGGCTTTCAGGACTGGTACTCTGAAACACAGAATACATTCTCTCTGGGAAAATGTTTTGAACTGTTTGGCTTACAGATCTGAGCTGTTATGAAACATGAGAAAATTTAGGTATACAGCTGGTTATGAAAAGGTACCAACTTGAGAGCACTTACTTCATTATAAGCAGGATGTACTTAGAACACATTTTTAATGTTGCATGTGTCTTTACTGGCACCTAGCATGGAGTTCATTTATTCGGTAAATATTTATTCTGTACCTGTGGTTCATCAGCCCTCTTGAGGCATTGGAGTGCAGCAGAGAACCAAAGTCTGTGCCCTCACAGAGCTTCTGTTCCCAAAATTATTTTCTTTTCAGTCCTATAAATGTTGGAAAACCACCTGAATCTGGTTTCTCTTCTGCTGTCCCTTACTTGTCCTGCCTTTGTTGTAAAGAAGGTATTGTACATTAAAAAAAAAAAAAAAAAAAAAAAAAAAAAAAAAAAAAAAAAAAACAAATTTCTCAGGGGGTAACTATCAAGAAAAGGTTAATGTGAGAAAAAGAATGGAGGAGAGATCCGTGGCACGTGGACATCATGTATGCATTATCCACCCTCTTGTTCCAGAGTGAAGCTGGTCCTTCCGGGGATATCAGAGCCAGCCTCCCAGTTCTTCCATCCAGTAATGTGCTGCCCGTCCCCCCCCCCCCAAAAACTGCATTTAGGGGCACCTGGGTGGCTCAGTCGGTTAAGCATCTGGCTCTTAGTTTCAGCTCAGGGCGTGATCTCATGGTTCATGAGTTTGAGCCCTGCATCCATCCCTGTGCTGACAGCATGGGGCCTTCTTGTAATGCGCTCGCTCGCTCTCTCTCTCTCTCTCAAAGTAAATTAATAAGCTTAAAAAAATATTTTTAAAGATTGCATTTAGTATTACTCTTGAGTGTAGTATTCTTCCATTCATTCCCCTTTGGAGGAAATTTGAAAGTTTGCTTTTTTCTTTCCCCTGCTCACTAGAACATGTTGGCAGTGTGCCTGCTTTAGATATAAGTAACTAATAAGATTTACGATCAAGGGGCACCTGGGTGGCTCAGTCAGTTAAGCATCTGACTCTTGATTTCAGCTCAGGGCACGATCCCAGGGTCCTGGGATTGAGCCCCACATCAGGCTTCGTCCACACGGAGCATGGAGCCTGCTTAAGATTCTCTCTCTCTCCTTCTACCCTACTCTACCACTCATGTGCACACTCTCTTTCAAAAAAAAAAAAAAAAAAA